TTGCGAAATCATACGACAAACAGCAAAACATGTAAAATATGTGCGGATTTAATTTAAATTGTATTTTATTTTATTTTATTTTATTTCAAATTTATTTTTTTATTATTTTTTTCACTGTTTCGACATCAAAACAAGAATGAATATGACGGAGTGAATTTTTTTCTTTCGCATTCTGCCGTTCTCCAGTAGTGGCGCTCTACTATTTCACACTCCATGTATTACATAGAAAAATTGACAGAATATTGCCGGGTGTGTAAAAATGACTATTTTGCCGTTGAAGTATTTTGAAATTTTGCTCGTCACACCTTTTTTTTCTAAATTTTTAGGGATTTTACGAATGTCTTTTGGGGCAAACAGATCGAATTTCACAATTATTTTCTTTTAATTGAATGAATTGTTGGAATTGTTCACATTGTTTTTAATCAGTCCAATTAATTTTCCCGGTTTTGGTTTCTATATTTTGCCCAAAATAAAACACGAAACATTCGACAATGTCGAATTTGGAGTTTTTGGACATATAGATATCACAAATAATTGAAACTAAAGATGTTAACCATTATGCTTTCGTTTTCATTCGCCAAGAGAATCTAATTTTTCGATTCGTTTGCATTGGCCATACATATTCAAAAATTAATTCGATCTCGTTCGTATTTTTGTTTTCGTTCGCATTTGCCAAACAATATACAATTTTCGTTCGTTTCGATCGAAATAAAACATCGACTTTCATTTCCATTCGTTTTTCGTGAATTCGTTTGGCGAACGATCGAATTCGCGAATTTTTCTTGTAAAAATTCGTTAACACCTTCATATGGATGAAAGAATGGTGTTAAAATGAGAATGAAGAATTGATGAATGAAAAATAAAAAAAAATGTTAAAAATTGAAAATTCCACGAAAATAGTTATTTGAAGAAAAACAATTGAAAAATTGAAAATGTCAACATTTACAATTTTTTGCAAGTAAACACTCGGAATCAACAAAGTGGCGCTTCAAACCCCAATACAAAGTAATTTCGATCTCTAAAGGAGTGTTATTTCTTGTCAGTCATTTTTGCTCACAAATGAGCACTGTGTAAATGTGATCAATGTACCATAATTTGGTTGTCCACACACACATGCACACATAGGTTGCGATTATTTGATTGAAAATGAGTTGCAGGGGATGGGTTGGGAAGTGAATGATTTTGTCGCTTAAGTGACGATTCAATTTAATGGTTGCTTAAATAGAAAGACAAACAAGTAAACAAAACTACACACACACACACATCGGCACGTGCTATTGTATGCAGCAAATATTTAACACCTTTGGCGACAGCATTTCTTCTCCCTTTGCTTGGTGCTGCGTCCACCGTGACACAAAAACTGCCTTGGAAATCCATTTAATGTGAAAATTGAGCAACCAAACACGAAGGACATATTAACAATCGGAAGTGGTAAGTCCATTGTCATACCGGTTTTCCCATCGTTTGCGAGCCCATACACACTCACAATCAAGTGCGTACGATGGTCGAGTGGTACGTACAACCGATTATGATATTAATAAATATCATAATTAATTTAGCGAGTGTCTATAAATACGGTAGCATTAAATGATGACGAGATGGACACGGCGCCGCTCAAGTGTCATTGCAGTCAAAGGGAACGAACGATGGGCACATGGTTTTAATGAAAAAACGCAGCGGCAGCATTTCCAATGACCACCACAGCCATTTGAATATGGCTTGGAAAGAAAAAAAAGAATTCAATGACAAATTGACACGCTCAAAAGCTTTCATTAAAAGTGGGTTTTTTCATGGTACAAATGGAATAAAATACACAATAATCCATTTATTCAAAGAATGAAGCCACTTTAAAATTTCGACCAAAATACATTTCCTCTCATGATAGACCGTACTTTGATCAACGGACATATTGAAAAAATATACGTTCCAATTTTATTTGGGTTTCTAGGTAATGGCCTGTTTTTTCAGTCTGAAAACTGTTTACTATCCAAATGCGTCTTAATTTTTCAATTACGTCGAATTTTCTTTCCAGAAAATATCAGAAAAGTCCATGATAGCCAAAAACGGCAAAAATGGGGAAATTGCACAAAAGCAGGATTGGATTTGGTTTATATTGAGTGTTTCGGCGGATAACATCATCATTTGTGCAGTTGATTGGAAATTATATGAATGGGAATATTGAGCAGCAGAAACATGTAAAATCGGCTTTCGACTAGACGAATCAATTAAAAATATCCCATAATCATGTTTGCACCGAATAAAGTGACTTTCAAGTGACCTTTGGCGTTGATTGAAAAAAAAGTGCTGTTTATGTTGTATTTACTGTATGTATTTGTCGGTGCGGTGAAATGTATCGTCAATTCCCTGGTTTCATCTTGGTGATATTCAGAGTGGCGGTAATGTCAAAATAAATTTCAGACACAAAATCAGTGTTCTTTTCGTTGCGCAATTTTTCTATTAATCATTGTTGGTCGCTAGGGACGACAGTTTGTCATTTTTTCGGTGTATTGAAAGAAAAACAAGTGGGCCAAAAGTGCATCCCTTCACTTGCTCGCTTCCTGCGCGCGTTCCGTATAAAAGTTACTAACATTTGGTAACAACAACAAAAAAAATCAGCAAAATAAAAATCGTTTAAAGGTTATTTCAAATCAAGTACACATTCTTTTTGTTCGAGTGTTTATACAAAACTCATTAACGGTGCTATTGAACATTGTGCGCTTTCTCTCTCTTTTTTCTCTCTTTCTCTCTCCCTCTGACGTGAATTTGGGATTTCATTTTTAATCGTCTATATATAAATTCGAAATAGGCCGCGAGCAACTGTGTATCAGTCGTCGATTTTCATCGTCATTTGATTTATAAGCGGCTCTCTCTCTGATATGCATACATAATTGAATCGCGCGCCCAAACGAAAATGATGACAGAAGAAAGAATGGAAAAAGCAGATTATTTGCCGCTTTGTTTTGTTATGATTGTGTGTGTGTGTGTTTTTTTTATTCGCTATCTTCACTTGTTCAAATTGTTTTTGTTACAGTATTTACGATCGGATTCGCGTGCTTGAAAATACATCATTTACAAATACACACACGGCCCACTGAAAACATACCGAACATGGTAGTGTACAGCAGCTGCCACATTTTAGGCGCACAAATTTTTTACATGCGGTAGCAAAATTCCCGCAAACATATACACAGAGACAGAGAGAATAATGCACCCTCCAAATTAAGGGATTAATTGAAGAGGGATGTTTTAAATTTCATTGCAATTCTTGGTGTTCGTTCGTTTTACGCAGCAACGAAGTTTACGAGCTCACTGTCACCGTCTTTTGTTCACCTTCTCTATTTATGTCTCTTTCACGCTCTTTCTCGCACACACAAACACACACACACACACTCACTCCCTTGCCCGCTCTTTCGATCGCATCGCGTTTTTATTTTAAATATGTATCACTTGTGTAAATCAAGTTGTAAATCCGTCGATGTTGTTACTGGTTGCAAGTAATCATCGTTAGTTAAAGTACTTAATCGTTTTTGAATACAATTCAATCTATCGCGTCTTTTTGGGCGGAAATTTTTGATATGGGCCCAATTGTTGTCTCTCTTTCTCTCGCAACTCCCTAAACTCTCTCTCATGTACGACCATGTACGACCGGCTTGTTGATAACTTTGATAATCGTTGTTTAAATTAATACAAATTATTATTTTGATACATTCATAGCATATTTTCAAGTGGATTAATATTATTGCAAACGTAAACTGAACGGTTTTTTTGGACCACGCAAATGTTCCAATTGCCAATTTTTGCATTTTCAATCTTCATATGGTATTGAAATTTGGAATTGAAGTTTGAATTTTTGGCATTTGAACGGACTTTTCATCAGTGAATCGATAAAGTCACTTGATCAAGTAATAATCAAAATAATAACATGGAAACATAGAAAAATTATTCAGATTGTTTTTGTCCAAAACTAAAAATGTAAAAAAAAGGAAAAATCAGAATCCAGACACTTTTTGATGAAACAAAAGTCTTTTTCTCTTGACTAATCTTTAACTCATTAAAAACCGATGCAAACCATGAATTTAAACATAACTCACCTCTTTCTTGAGATTCGCCGCCATGGTATTGTTCGATGGATGTGCTATTGCGGTGTCGTCATCGCAATTCGTGTAAATCAAATTCGGTTCACCGGTCAATTTATCTGGGCTGCTGCTGCTAATCCAGCTGTTTGAATCATTTGCCGATGATGACATCATGCCCGTGAAATTCTTCAAGTTGGGCTTACGTTCGTCCTTCTCAATTTCCACATCAATGTTACTGAAATTGCTTTTGCTGGAACGTGTATCGGTCTCATTTAAATCATCACCTTCCACATCGATCTCTTGCCGTATCACGGCCATTATATCACTTCTATTTTGTACACTGCACATATTCGCCGGTTTTAACTCACTGCACTGTTGTTGTCCACTTTTGTGCTCAATGTTATTGTTGTCGCTTTTATGGCTCTTGTGTATGGTGTTGTTATTATTATTTAGGAAATTATTGTTATTATTGCCACAGTGGCCACTGTTGAATTTCTTCAGGACATCAGCATCGGCCGCATGTATCGACGAACTATTCTCAATTGCTTGCTCGCAACTCTCGTTTCGTATGCTATTATTGCTGTGATTGCTGGCCAGAAAAATAATAATACACCAAGATATTATCGAGATATTGGTCAGAAGAAAATGAAAAGAAAGTGAGAGAAAGAGAAGAAAACATAAACCGCTCATTTCCTACCTGATACACCGTTGAGTCGGATGAGCCGCAAGGCTATGCTCTTCAGTCGTTTCGATATCCACCATCTCTTCATCACTTGACACATTTTCAATTGGTGCGCTTGTTAGCGTGTCACGATTCGCATCCGACGTCGAATTACTGCCCTCCAAACGACGATGATTGAAGCGCTTACTTCGGTTTTTCCTGTTTATTTGTTTTTTTTTTGTTGGGAAAATAAATGAAAGATTTTGGTTAGGGACTGGATTTTTTCTGTTTTGAAGATCATTTTTCAACAAGTGTTTGAATTTTTTTTTCTTCAAAAAATGAGGCGTAATGCCTGGAGAGACAAGTAGAAAAGGTAAAAACAAGACCGCAGAGCGGAGCGAAGCGAAGTTCTTGAGTTTTTAGTTACTTAATCTATTTTGTTGTTACACAACAAACTATTTTTTGGCGCACTACATGGAATGTATTTCATCAAAGTAACTTTGAAGTAATATATTTATTTGCAAAATGAATTACAAGATCTTGGTTTAATTTCTTTTTTGAAATATACTGCCTTTGGTTTAAATTAAATAAAAAATATGAGCATAGAATTCAAATTCACCATAATTTGTTTCAACACTCAAAAAGTATCTAGGAAAAAAAAAGCAGATTAGTAGCTCTACATTTCATGTAGTGCTAAAAAAACAATCAAATCAACGAAATCAATTGAATGGCTTACAATTCATTGTCATGATTATAATTTGAGTCAGTTGGCTCTTCGATGCGGCTGTTCTGCACGGGACTCACTGATGTGGCCAAAATAGATGGATTAAACACGTTTTCATTGAACAGTTGAGTGCGATGTGTGCCGAGAACGGGCTTAAACGCGGAATTTTTATAGTATGGCATAGCGGCTGAGTTCGGCGAGTATGGTTTAACCGTTGGCGAGACAATTCGATCGTTGCTGTTTCGTCGGTTCAACGTGCTTTTGTCATTGTCACCATCAACTTGAGCGGAGGGAAGTGTGCTTAAGCCATTGTGCTGATGAGCGTGATGGAATGTTTGATGGTTGAAAAAAATGTGCGCTGGCTGCTTCAACCATGGCAATCCATAGGCTGTAATGAGTTTTTTTTTGTCATTGATTAAAAACATGTTTGAAAAATTAAATCGAAATTTTAAAATGTAACAACGTTTAGAATGTACTACTTGCTGAATGTAGTGTTTCAAGGTGAAAACTCAATGGGATTTCTTTTAATCATTCTAATCGAGATATAATTTAGACTATTGAATGACTCAAATTGGCTTTCCTTTTTCATATGTCCAGACAAAAATAGGCATTCTAAATCGATATGTTTTTCCAAATATTACCTGAATGATGTTGCTGTTGTTGTTGCCACATGTAATCCATGACGAAATTGCGTGATAGTTGAATCGATGGAGCAATGTCAGTGGGGATTGAGTTTGCGCTCCTCGGCACCGGATTCGAGCACACCGATGTGGCATTCATTAGTCGCGAGCAATTTGCATTTGCAAGTTTCGACGAGTGAACATTGATCGGCCGAATTGGATACTGATGACCGGCATTTGCGGCAGCCGCCACCGCCGCAGCAACCGCACTCATCAAAGGTTGTGGACTCAAGGGTTGTGTTTGATTTTCTGCAGTGTTTGACTCTTTCATACCTTTCAAGAAAAAAATTGGAAGTTTACCGTTTGAATGAAAAAAGAATGCCATTTTGAATGGAATTGAATAAGATTTGTTATCTGGGAGGACATATTCATTTTGTTTGAAGTAGTAGAGGAACATAGCTTATTTGAAACGAAGGAGAAATTCTTGAGCTCAAGTTTTAATTTCAAACTAAAGTATTCTTCATTAATGTTGATGTTATGCACATAAATACGGAACGCCTTGCCTCGCAATTCATTTCGAAACTTAATTTGTGGTTTAAACTTTGAAGCATGCACATTTTTCTGCACAAATCCTTCTAATTCATCGTACAATTTTGATTAGTCAAGTTGAGGATGGAATGCAATGGATGTCAAAGTCGAGCTTTTCGACTCTTGAAACGAAGCTTAGCTGAAGACTTCATAAAAACGATAGCTCAGTTATTAGAAATGCGTCTCAGTTATTGAATTTAAAAAAATAGATAATGTTGATGATGTCTGGGGTATACGTACGTTTTGGTGATTGTTCTGGTTCCGAATGGACATTGGAATGGCTGGTGTTCATTAAACCATTTCGTTGACTCGTTGTTGCGGTGGAAGAGCGAATGTGGTCTGATGATGCAGCAGTAGTGCCGGCTGAGTTCCGGCTGGATGAATGCGATGACACCGATGTGATGAGTCGTTTACGTGTGCCACCATTAAACATAGCCTTCACATCTTCCCATGCGAACACAATTTCGTCGGGTGAAATGCCGCTCAATTTCATGTGCCTACGCCATGAATTAAAGTTGGCCGCATCGGGTTGTATGTATTTATCGCCGGGTCCAACGCGATGCGAATGGAATATAAATTTGTTTGGCGAAAAGAACAAACCACAATAGGTGCATTTAATGCATTTGGCGCGTGAGGAATTATAGCGTGATGGTAAAAATTGGCCACGACAACCCCAAGCACACTCATGATATACACTGAACGAAAAATCATCGGGCAAACGGGGTGGTGCATTGTCGCCCAAAAATGATTTACACAAACGCTCCGCTTCGCGACGTGTTATCATTCCACAGCGACGTGAACTCACTGGCATTGCACCGGCACGACGAAGAATTTCTAATTGTACGGGCGTACATTGAACACACGTTATGCCGAGAGCCACACGACGATTGTGGATTTCATTGTAACTAAATTGCTTCAATAGTGTATTGGATATTTGGGCCAAACACAATCGCTCCTGTGCTTCTATATACAGCGATACGATCGGCACTCCATACAACATCACCGTGCTAACCTGAAAAAAAAAGATGATAAAGTTGATGAAATTCCAATCAATTTACATATTGAAAAGATGTGATATGATATGATGATGTAGAGTAAGGTGGGGCGAATCGGTACACCAGCCTTTTCTCGTTACGGGCAATACTTACACTATTAAACCTATATGTCATTTGAAAGAGCATCGAAATTGTGACATTTGGTAATATGGTTTTGACATGTTTCAGTCAAGTACAGAGAGTCCACAGGCATACACGTGTTTTGTGCTAGTGCTGAATTAATTTTTTGTGTTTACAGATTTTAAGTTTTGACCATTGAAATTTAATATTTTTTGAAAATTGGTGAGTGTCTTTTGTAGCTAAAGACGAGCTCTTTCAAATGGAAATAAGTTTGTTCTGAATATTTTAAATTTTTGTGGTTGAATCGAGCTCCGAACACAAAAGTAGGTGGTGGGGCGATTCGGTACACAAACACATGGGGCGAATCGGTACACCTCATTTTCGTGTTTTATCGCTTATTGAAGTCTCAAAACGTTTGAAATCATTGTTATTGTTGCGAAATTCAACCAAACAACATCTCTAATACCAATTTTCATTACATTTAGTTTATAATTTTGTTATTTTGTTCACAAATTCAGTGTTTTCTGGGGTGGCGCCAATCCATCGGGTTTTAATGAACGGTGAAAACTTTTTGAATTTCATCATAAAGTTTCATCAATATACTCGATGCACCCCAGACAATCCCATTTTGCTTCTTATGGACAACCTTGAAGCGCATCGCACGTTCGAAGTACTGCATTTCTGTCGCGAAAACGGTATCCATGCCTTATCTTTTCCGCCGCACACATCGCACCATTTACAGCCACTCGATGTAAAAAATAAAGTAAAAACCGCTCACAAACATCAAACAAATGCGTTTGAAAACTTTTTCTGATGATAAATTTATGAAAAAGCACTGTAAATGGGGGTGTACCGATTCACCCCACGGTTTTTTGCAGAGCCCGAAATAGAGGCATCCGCCCGAAGGGCAATATCGGACCCGAAAAGAGGTCAAATCAAAAAATGTTCTTCTATAAAAGTAAGGTATTGAATCTAGCTACAAGATAAAACCAAACTTTCATGATTTTTTTAAAATTTGTATGGAAATATTTAATTAAGAAAAAAATTGTACCGATTCGCCCCACCTTACCCTATACATTGTATATTGGATATATAAGAAGGACTACTCAAATCTAACCAATCGTATTACTTAGCTAGATTCAAGTAATTAAATTGCGATCAAAATTGTTTTAAATCGCCATATTTTATGGATTATTTGGAAACCGCTTAGTTGCATTGAGAAAAATGAATTAGCGCTTTAGTATTCGAAAAAACAACTTCTTTTAATAAAACGCAATAGATATACAACTGGAAACAGGTCCTCAAAACGCTAAACAATGATTTTCCTTTTTTTAGTTGGAAACTCCATCAATACACAACACATTCAGCTCCAATTCGTGTCAATATAATGCAATAATCAAACTAACTACAGCTGTGAGTTGTCAGAAAACAATATTCGCTTCCCTGAATCCCGAACGCGGTTAATTGAACTAGATGAAACTGCCTCCAAAATGCAAGGAATGGAATCAATTACATAAGCACCTTGAGTACCAGAACTAGTAAACAGAAGATTTTTTTCATCTTGTTGTTCAAGATTTTTATGATGATTTTCTACGCAACAATTTTCCAACAATTGGGATAAAAACGTGTAAATTTCCGTTGAAAATAAATTCTCTTGAACATGGCCTCTCCTGTTATTCTTATAACTATTCATAATGTTTTTCTTTCCCTTTTCTCTCTCTTTTTTTCCAGTGTCTTCAAGGCCAAATGAAATTCCCTGATTCGTTTTCGATTTCATTCATTCACTTTTCCTTTCTTTATTGAATTTTCTTCAACCTTCGATGGGCTCTTTCTTTATTTTCTCACACTCCAAGTATACCAATTATTCAAAGTATTGAATAGTAAGCTCATTCCTTACCATTTTTAATTCAATAATAATTTTTCCTGATCAAAGTTGATGTCATGAATGAAGTCGATATATCTATTTATCGATTGGAATAATGGGCCGCGCAAAAATAGTTCATTCGTTGAATACCTCCCATAGTTGAGCACTTAACTTCGAAATAGTGAGGAAAAGTGCTCTTTATGATGGATATTTCGAATACTAAATAAAAATGTGCTATAAATGTAATGTGTGAACAGATGAAAAAGTGACTGTTTTTTTTTCATTTTCCCACGTTTTTTTTTTCTTGCTTCTACTCGCTGTTGCGTACAAAAAGACATTCATTGAAAGTGTTTCATACCTGATTTGGTTTGGATGTAGTGGGTTCGGTATCGGTTGACAAAATTCCAGAGACATTTTCTTGATGTTGATGGATATGTGACGATTTCGATTCGGAACTGTTGGCTTTGGTGAGACGATGTGATAACACTGTATCAATTTCCCCGCTGAAACAAAGGAAACGGAAATATGTTCGTAAAATACCCGTTGGGAAAACACAAACACGAATAAAGTATCTTTTGTTTTCACGTAAACATTCATCAATATCTCCATATTGAGAGGAGCTTTCATCAATACCTCCACCTCGAACTGGAGAAAAGAGTGATTTGATTCAAATGAAGCCAAGAGATTCGTTTTCGCAATGAAAGCTTTCAATTTTCAAGTATTGATTTGATTTCAAGACTTGCTTGATTTAGAGAGTAATTTGTTTATTGAATTGTTTTTTCAATTGAAAAAGACTCACGGTGGCTCATTCTAAAATGATCATTCACTTGAACAAAGTTTCATTTGAATTGGTTTACATTAAGCTTACGCTAACTGAACAAATCTAAAGACAAAATCACAGTCCACAATCGTTACAAGATAACGATATATACTAAATTATTCGCCACCCACCAGACAGAGCAACTTGACACTAATCGCGTATCGAAATGTGAGTGAAAGACGTTGAAACGAATTTAAATTTAGCCAGGAACAATAAAGAAATTGTGGGCTTTATTTCAATCATCCGGTGTATTTAATGAGACAATAAACCCTTTTTTGTGAGAAACGCTTAATGAGCTCCTCCGTTCGGTCAATATTAAATGTAAGCAATTGAGTGAAATGTTTAATTATCTCCCATAATTACGGCACACTTAATCTTTAATCGTGTATCTCGTTAATTATGCCGGTTTATAAGCGCTTGTTGTTGTTGTTGTTTTTATTTTACGTAAATGATGCGCAAGAACATCTAATTCTACACGAACAAGAAATATTCAAAACCTGATCTAATTGAAATTGGCATCCGATGCAAAGAGCTACTTGAATGAAATGCACGAAAAAAGAGAAGACAAAAATAAAAGCCAACAGAAGAAATAAAAAAAAGCACCGTACATCTAATGAAAAAGCAACACCCGAAAAAAGGCAGCGCAGGCAAACGGATAACATGATTATATAAATGTTGGCAAGGAAAGTATGAATTATAAGCCGCAATTCTTCGAAAGCAACGCAGTGGCAGCAATCATATTTTATGTGTGTATGTTTTGTAATTTTTCGGTGCATTGAGTCGAATATAATTTTATTATACCGGTGTACGGAAGCAAACAGTATTGAAACATTCAATCGTGGTGGTTGCTGGAGATGCAGTGAATTAAGGGGGAAAAAACATTTTGACGAAAACAAAATTGTTTTAAAAATTATTGCGCATCAAATAATGAGAAGATGAAAAAAAAAGAAGAAGAAGAAGAAGAAGAAAAAAACGACGGAAAACCAAATTCATGCAATGGAATTGGAACGATTCAATTTAGTCAAGTGAATACAATCACAGCCAGGCAAAACCAAATGAATAAGTAATAAATTATTCTCTAACGGCTAAATCGACAAGCACAACAAATGATTGTTCATTTTTCCTCTGTGTTCGTTGATAATAGGCGCGAACGTGCGCGGACATGGTGGGTGTACAGATGGAGGGGTGGATTATGCTAAATTATTGTGCAAAATACACGCAACGATCAACACAACAACGAAAGGAAAAAAATGGCCGTGCTACGACAAACTTAAGTAAATCAATTAACTTGTGCTCATTTACATGTTGAGTCGAATTTTACTTTTTCTTCGGTTCCATTCGGTGCTTTCGGCAGTACATCCAATTACGTGTTATTGAGGTTTTGTGCAAGCGAAATCACTGAATTTCATTTCAATTAATGCGAAACCATAACAAAATTTAAAACTTATATTATCATCGCTTCATAGCGCCAATTCATTCAATTTTGTATATCAATTCGTTTTTTTCTTCACCTCTCTCGTTGGGTTTTTCAATTTAGCCAAATTGTTCGGCCCATTGTTGAATGGGAACGCGTCGATTAGCCACAGTGTGTAATATATTCCAACACACTGTGTTGCGACATACTAAATAGATTCATTTGCATTTTGTTGTTAAATGACATTCAAGAGCGCCAAGCTCGAATAGGGCGAATAAAATCAGCACAAAACCCACTGGGAATTCAAAGTTGCAGTGTAACTGGGACTGTGCGAAGCTACACACACACACACACACACACACACACACACACACACAAATAACAACCAAGTCAACATTGAAGAAATTAAATGTCAATTTGATTTGATGACATTGTTCAGCGTGTGTACGCGCGCGTTGGTTGTTCACTTCATTTTGAATTTGAGCCGAGCAGATACAGCTCGAGATATGGAAAGTGTCGGTTCGGAACAAGTGGCGGAACAGCAAATAGACAATATCATTACGACTGAATCGTCAGAGTTAATTAATTCACTTTGACGCAGTTCGCACCACTTGATATTTACAAGTGAAAATGAGGCAGAACACAACGATATATTGAACTAATCAGCAGACATATTTTGCAGGAGAACGAATATTGTCCGTAAGGAATAAGCCAACTTAAGAAGAAGAAATGGCTCTTGAAATGAATAGCATTGGCACACAGAAAAACTTGTAAAAATTTCACTGCTGAACAGTGGATGAATGGAGGAATTTATGGGATAATTGAAATTTCGTCTAAAAAAATGAAAAAACCGTCCAAAATTTTTATAAAATCGTCCAAAAAATATTACAAAAATGGAAAAAAATTTGGTCGATTTTCTCAATTTTTTTCGCCGGTTTTGAAAATAAAATTATAAAAACGTCCAAATCTGTTTTCGTCTCTAACTCTGAAATTAGAATTTCGTAAAAAATTATTCGAAATTCGTCCAAAATATTGAGAAAATCGTCCAAAATATTTTGAAATTCGTCCACAATTTTTCGAAAAATGAATTTGGGTTCATGACAAAAGCCTACCTTTTCTTCACATGACTCTCTTAGAAACAAATGGTAAGTAGAAAGAATTGTATGGTTTTGGATGGTGCAACTGCCATGCAGCTATTTTACAGCACAGAGTCATCATCGTTCGATGAATAATCAGCTTGTTTCTATCAGCGCGTGTATCAGCTAAATTTTGCAAGCACACCCTCGCAATCGCTTTACTCAAGCGTGTAGTTTTGTGCATGCGAAACGTGGTCAAAAATCAAACGCCAAATCGGCCTTGCACAAGCCAAAAAATTGATTATTGTAAACTCAAAGCACTCTACAATCAACATGGATCTGCTTGACCTGACGTAAAACTTTTCGTCAATTTATCTACCGGTAATTGAATGATGACTTTTGCAGTCCTAGAGTCACAAACTAAACGTTAAATTACCTAACGCTTCACATAGCCTTTGTCCTTTTGGAAACGTTTACCAAAGGTTATTCTGGACATCTTGATTGTATGATATATGTTTTTATGTTATTTCAAAGAGATAGTTTTAAATTCATTCAGCCAGAGCTTGGCTGTGTTAAATAAAAAATAAATAGATATATACAATACAGATCTGCGATCATTTTCGAAAAAGTAATAGTACGACTGATTTGTGAACATTCACTCGATTTATTTCATTCGAACTACGGAAATGAATTCAAAAATCAAAACCATACAATTCTTTCTACTTACCATTTGTTTCTAAGAGAGTCATGTGAAGAAACGGTAGGCTTTTGTCATGAATCCAAATTCATTTTTCGAAAAATTGTGGACGAATTTCAAAATATTTTGGACGGTTTTCTAAATATTTTGTGCGATTTCCGAAATATTTTGGACGAATTTCGAATATTTTTTTACGAAATTCTAATTTCAGAGTTGGAGACGAAAACAGATTTGGACGTTTTTATAATTTTATTTTCAAAACCGACCAAAAAAAATGAGAAAATCGACCAATTTTTTTTCCATTTTTGTAATTTTTTTGGACGATTTTATAAAATTTTTGGACGGTTTTTTCATTTTTTTGGACGATTTCTGAAGCAACCAAATGTTTTTGGCCCCCATCTACAATTCTTGACCTTGCCTGCATGATAGATATTACTTCATTTTTCATTTCCGCGGGCATTCTTGAGTGAATATATTGAATTGTCGATATTTCTTGAATAAAATATTGATCAGTTCTTCGTATTCTACTGTTATCGAAGGACTTGCGACGAGTGAAAATTCAGGCTAGTCGAGATTGTTTCAATTTCTCATAATGGAAATCGCACGTGCCAATTGGTTAACTCATTAACGCCCAGACAAAGAAAATCGAATTTTTTTTCCCTCAACTTCAGCCCAAGGCTAACTTGAGACCTGGAGTGATTTATAGGGAAGTATAAATATTTTTGGAAAGCCACAACATTATCCTGTTTTATGGTATGTGTTGTATACCTACATATGCCACATGCAAGGAAAATTTGGTAGGAAAAGTCAGAAATTTGTCGTGTCTTAAAAATAGGACGTTCGGCTTTAATGGGTTAAACTGATAGAGACTAACGTAGTTTAAAATGGTTTAAACAATCACAACTCGCCTGTATATGAAAAATTTTCAAATTTGCGAAACGTTTCGAATTTTGAAGGGTAATTTTTTTCATCATTTCATTTTATATATTTGATATATGTTGTGATTTTTCAACTTTTCACGTATTTGAACATTGAGTGGTATATTTTAAACTCCAATTGTCAAAAATATATCAAAAAACGAGGCCAAATGTCCAAAATTTGTCGGAAATATTCTTAAAATATGCCAATTTTTTTAAAATGTCATGGATGTTGAGCATTTCCTTGTCAAATATATACTATCGTTTTTCACATGACATATGCCTTTCAAAACTAAACGGTTGCAGGGAGAAATTGTCCGAAATGAAAATGAATTTTCTCAATTCAATTGTTATGACCTTTGAAACTCCAAATTAAATAATTTCTTTGTAAAATAGTATATTCATCCATCATTCAATCAAAATGCAGAATTATCAAGCAATATTGTAATCATACTACAATGAATCGAGCATCCTTGTGTGTATCCGGCAATTTAACTTGGTTGTACATTGGGCCAAATTCTTCAGAAATCAAACACAAGAATGCCATCTCTCCATTCCAAAGCAAAACAAACAAATGAATCCTATAAACTTGAATGGGTGGGAGATGTTTCTCTATAAAATGAAAATCCTGAGTTAAAATCAGTCTGAAATTGATGTCTACTCTTCGATATTCACTTACGTTTTGTACATTTTCGATGAAAATCTTCTAAGCCGATGTAATCAAATAATATCCGAATAATCTGCGAATGAATGGTCAATTATAAACCCAAAATTGGTAGTTCTACGTAGTTTCTTTATTATTGTACGATAAACAATAAATAATGATTGTTTATGTTCTTGCCACAAGAATCTTTTCAATGTATTTTTCTTCGAATATTTTTCTATATTATCGATTTTCTTCGTTCACTGTGATAACGATTCGAACACATGCATTTTATGCCCCAAACGATGGAATTTCCCAATGGTGGGAAAATTGCATTAAAATCAATTTTCACTCTCAAAATATCATTACAATTGTTGATGATTTTGTAAAACTGATATGTATCATTTCGAGTAACAACTAAACACCGTTACACTTATTACATCAAAAACACATACTCCAGCGACAGTTAAATACAATCGATCGATTTTATGTTATTGTATTTTCAGCATAACATAAACGGGTAAATGCTTGATTTTAGTGGCAAAACATCAATTCATTTATTTCACTGTTCCACATAATTCAATTTTCGGATCAAATATGTTATGTTTGAAATGAGACTAAACAAAAATATCTCAAATTTACACCAAAAATGAATTCCCTTGCTGCGGTTACATCTTAATAAAACTGATTCACTTCATTTTTACAACATATTCTTGTTGTTCACAAAAGTTCATTTTAGCGAGTCGAAAGATCGCAAAATATTGTTTAAAGTTTTCACTTGATTTTTTTGAGTTAACATCAAACTATTTCGATTGCACACTAATCAAAAAGTCCTTGTATTCTTTTTCTTCGTTCATTTCGTCTTTTTTTTTTTAATTGAATGAAACAACAAAATTGATGATGTAGTTAGTGAGATTTTTTGCGTGCCATTGTTCGGGCGATCAATTACACAAATAAACGGATTGAAAAGGCAAGAGACGAGTTGTCGTCAATCGTTTTTCGTGTGTGTTAAATCTTTTTTTTTGTCCTCTTTAATTTAACATGTCGAACGCACACCGAAACAAAACACCAGCAACAACACACCGCTCGAAATGCAAAGTGGAGCATATTTAAACATTACTTTTTGAAAGACACCCTCTCCGAATTCGGAGTGTGTGGGGGTTGGTTTGAGCGAGCGAGTGAGAAGAGAGCGAAAATGGAACAGAAAAAAAAGCAGCCGCAACAGCAGCAGCAGAACAACAAAAAACAAGTAGCACGGACGAGCGAGTGAATGGCTCTCTCTATCGTCGGATGGAAATTGGGGTATTTTGGTTGTGTTGTACGCGAAAACAGCCAAACCACTAAGCTGGTAGAAAATATTTTGTGGGAATGTGTTGTGTGTGAGTCGCGCCAATGACATTGCCATCGCTTCAAATTGGATGGTGGAAGGAACTGCTGGACCCAGAAAATGTGCATACAAATTTTTGTGGGTGTGCAACATTCGTCGTACGGTACTCGATTGGTACCAAATGTTACCAGTAATTACATCGTTGTCAAATGCATTGTATGTTGTGCGCCTTTTGTGACGACGATCGTCGCTTAGAGAAGGCGGTAACAGTGAGCGACGGACAATGTACTGCGCATAGTCGGAAACGCCCCACCAAACGCGCGGTATGCACTTCCATAGCGACCGAATCCGAAAATGTCAGCCAATCAACTGACAGCTGATATTTATGCGCACACCGGGCGGAAAATCTAACATGAATGTGTAAACAGAGGAGTGATGAAAAAATAAAACACACAGAGAAAGAGAGACCATGCAATGGTTTTTCCATTTTTGTACAAGCCAAACCGGAAAAACAAATTTATCCCAACAACATTCACATACATACACACACACTCGCTAGCAGCACTAGAATGAAAAAACTCCAATTTTGATTGTGCAAACGAAACAGTCAAACAAACAAATGCAAAATAATTACATGCGCATAATTTAAATCAGGTTAAATAGTTTTGTTTCCGATTTTCGTTCATTTTTGAACGGCCGTAGAGTCTGTCTCTGACAATGAGAAAAATGAGATAGACTTGATTTAATCTAAAGATCTTTTCATTCATCGATGGCGAAAGACAACGAGGAAGTGAGCGTAAAAATAGAAACCAAAAAGAGAGTGAAAAAGCGACGAGATGAGAGTGAAAGAGAGCTTACAATCTTTCGTAAGCACACACATTTCTTGAGCCGAACAAATGTTTATGGAATTGAGGCAGAGGGAAAACCTGTTTCGTTTATTGGAGCTTTCATCAAGCGTGCTCCGACTTAGTTAAGAGGATGTAATGTTAAAAAGGATTGTTCAATTGTGCTAGGAAATGCGGCCACAATGCATATGTAGTGGATGAATGGGGCAGTGTATTGTGTGAAAATTATGCGTGAAGTTGTTCCCCAACGTTCCATACGGTGTATTTGTGTGAGTATAGCAAAAACGCATACATATGCAAGGTGGCCACAGATGAGCATACCTCTTTATTGTTTGCGTATTATATTACGGTATACACAGCAACACATTCCGTTACTTATTTTCAATCATTTTGGGTCATGAACGATTGTAATCACTTGTTTAATCACCAATAATTTAAATGAAAGCACCCAGTCTTTGGCGGCGTATTATTATTATTTCTTTGCACAAACCCTTTTAAATTAGGAACAATAATTTTGATGCTATATTTAGATTTTGCGTTAAACTTTTGAAATCATGCTAATGTCACTGGATATTCTATCAGTAATCTTCTCTCTTTTTTCTCGAAAAAACTCACAATAATCGTGTGATTTTCTTTCTTTTTTCATGTCTGGTTGACATCGATATATTAGTGGTTCATCCTATCGAGGAATGTTGAATGAAATGTTTGATTTTATTCGTTCAAATTACAGGTCGAAACAAATTAAGAAGACAAACAATGAAGGATCAAATTTAAAACCGAGAGAGAAAGAGAGGGAGAGAGAGAAAAAAAAAGAGCTGAATTGAAGCTAAAGATAAAGTCGTAATATTATGTAAATATCTAGTCAATTCAAAACCTTCAATAAATCGAACAGAAATGAACTGAAACACGGGAAACCGAACGGAATTGTTGTTGTTGCAATCTCGACTCGAAAAATCAAATTGAGATAATTACAGTCTCTGATAATTTCATTTTTATGGTGACGGTTGCATCCACTCCTTCAGTGCCAACTATCATAGACTAGGGGACTCACGCCAATTTCCATATTTAAAATATGAACAAATAATATGAATTTGTTTATGTTTCAACATATTAAACAGATATGTATGCATAATTTCAATTTTGCTCAATTTTGTTCAATAAACCGACTGTCAGCAGAACCATGTCCAATCTGTTGACGTCATTATCGCTTCAAAAATTCTGGAAATGGGTTTTGGTGGATCCTGTGGATTGTTCAAAACCGCTCCTGGTTCTGGAAGTGGATCCTCAGGATGGGCCAGGGCATTGTCAAACCCAGTCTGATCCATCCTGAAGATCCACCAAAACCCACTTCCAGAACCGGGAGCAGTTTTGAACGATCCTGAAGATCCACCAAAACCCACTTCCAGAACATATTGTTCAAGGTGAATATGAACAATAACAACGCATTCGGGAAATAATACAAAATATTTGAAATCTAGCGTGAATTTTACATGATTTAAATAATACAAATAGATTTTGCTAAATAAAATTTGGCATGAATCCCCTAGATCATAGAGTTGTGATATTATTCTAAGTAATTCATCATATGAAGCAAAAAAAGTGACTCATGGAATGAATAGACTAATTAAAAACTGACCAAAAAATGAAATAAAAACCCAAAAATGTTTGAACAAAAGAAACGCAAAACAATTTCAAAGCCAAACAAAATTCGAGTATGGAATATGTTGGTTGATCTGGCATATTTCCATGCAAAATGAAACAATTTTAATGCGACATATGATTCGAAATTTTCCGCAATCCTGAACTTTAACGGATTAACTTGACGCAAACGCATGGAGGAGAAAGAGAACGAAGAGACCGACAAAAAAGTGTAAAGTGCAATGAGTTATTTCGGGCATGTGTTGAATCAATTACATTGACAGCGATGATATTTTTGTAACCTTTTTGAAAAGGCTACCAAATACAAGACAGAAGCGAGAGAGAGAGAGAGAGAGAGAGAGAGAGAGAGAGAGAGAGCAAAAAAGTTGAAATGTTTAACACAATAACTATGTGCATTATTATTATGTTGGTAGAGCAAAAGATTTAGCACACTATGCATGTGGCGAAACATAGAGCGAGCGAGTGAATGAGCGAACAAAAAAGAAAGAATCGTCTAGCAAATTGAATAATTCAACAGACATTCATCCATTGTGCACCCTTCTCATAATTGAGTCTCGCTTCCCCTACTTATGTGTCATCATCATCATCATCGGTCGTTCGTTCTCGTCTCTCGTCTCTCGTCCTCATTTTCTCTTCTTCTATCATACATATTTTTTTTCGGCAGAACAAAAAAAATATAAACGATACTCCATATGAACACACAAAGTTAATTTGATCATAAAACAAATATTATTCGCATCGTCGCCTTTATTTAATGACCTGCCAATGCAGTATATTGTATCTAACGCCCATTTTTGTGTGTATATTGCTGTTGTTGTCGTTATTGTTGATGTGCAGCGCTCTAACATCGTTTAAAAGTTAAATGATCTCTCGTATACAAGCGAGCAAACAACAAAAAAAAACGACCAACTAGAGGTGTCAGCGTGTTACGGTACATATGTTAATTTTCCATCGACGAAATTCCCAGAGCGTTCGAATAGTTGCAGCGTTCGCTCTGAGTCCTCTTTTTTCTAGCTGGTCACATCGCATTTTTTTCTGTGTGTGTCTATAAAAGCGTGCTGGTGTTGTGATTTTTATCCAATCAATAAAAATCATGATATCCCAATATCATTTAATTTAATGGCTGGCCGTATGCACCATGCATATTTGTGCTCGCAAACTGCTTTTCACAAGAACTACTTTATTGACTTTGTACCACCAAACACCGACAATAGACTCGGTGCGCTGCATTTTTGTATCGAATTCAATTTTCCAATGCTAATAACGGTCACACACATACCATATCGCTTTTGTACACCGGGTGAACAAAGGAAAGAAAAAACGTATAATAAAATTAGCCAATTTTTTTCAATCACAATTCAGCAAATGATTGAATCTACCGTGCAAACTGGGCCCATTATCATTCTCATCCACAGTCCCAGCACACAAACACACACCGAACCATCCATGCGGATGAGCTGCATGCGCACACAAATTTGATTTACTGACGACATCTGACTTATTGCGGAATCATTTACAAATATGTGAATATCAAGTCATTAACTAACCGAAAATTTATCAATGCTGATGGAGAGTGGGCGAAGTGCTATTGAACAACATAATTATTTTTTTTCTGTTCAATAGTCACACATATTTCATAAATATGTCCTTTTTATATATATTCACATAATTCAAGTGTTACCGCAGCGAAAATCAAATGAATCAAGTGATTTAACTGTGAAAAAATTACCGCTTCAATCGCATTTCATGCATAAAATGAACTAACATCAATCGATATCTGTTACGCGATGGTGTGTGTTTAAGCTTGACCAGAATGTTGAAACAATGATTTAATAAATTGAATTGAAATTGGTATTGTGGAAATGCAATGCCATTTGCAATCCAATTGTGAATGTAATGACACAATTTCGTACAATACTAATTTAATTTTTTTCAAACGAAAATCAGAAGCAAACACCAAATTCAATTCCCAAATGAAAAAAAAAACCTCATTTTCAATCTGAAAAGTCTTATATTCAACTAAAAACCCAATTTTCAGCGTTCACACAACGTTCAACGTAAAATTCTAATTTCAATGCAAAATCCACAATTTCCATATCGTGTAAACACAATTTTCACTTACTCCGAAACGGTAGATAAAAATCATGTCAAAAAGATTTTCAGATTAAATTTGGTGTGTCAGTTGTTCGGAAGCGGTCATTAAAGATGTCCCTGATGCCATTATTAGCGGT